TGTTGAGACAGAAAAGGATCTTGGAGTCATCATTGATGCCACAATGAACATGGGCCGACTGTGGGGATGTGGTCAGGAAGGCCAACCATACCTTGTCGGGCATCCACAGATGCATCTCAAGCAGGTCCAAGGAGGTGATCCTCCTCCTCTATGCGGCACTGGTCAGGCCGCAGCTGGAGTACTGCGTCCAGTTCTGGGCGCCGCACTTCAGGAGGGATGTGGCCAATATGGAGAGGGTCCAAAGGAGGGCCACCCGCATGATCGGGGTCAGCAGGGCAGGCCCTACGAGGAGAGGCTAAGGAACCTGAACCTGTTCAGCCTCCAAAAGAGAAGGCTGAGAGGGGATCTAGTGGCAGTCTACAAACTAGTCAAGGGGGACCAGCAGGCATTAGGAAGTCCCTGTTCCCCCGAGCACTCCCGGGAGTTACAAGAAACAACGGACACAAGCTAGCAGAGGGTAGTTTCAGGCTAGACATTAGGAGGCGCTATTTCACTGTCAGGGCAGCTAGGACCTGGAACCAACTTCCAAAAGAAGTGGTGCTGCCTTCTACCCTGGGGGTCTTTAAGAAAAAAGGCTGAATGAACATCCGGCCAGGGTCGTTTGACACCAGTACTCTTTCCTGCCATGGCAGGGGGTCGGACTAAATGATCTCCTCAGGTCCCTTCCAACCCTACCAACTAAGAAACTATGAAATGATAACATAAATACAGAGGCGCAATTTATTTCCATAAAATGAAACTGACGATCATTCATATTTAAGTTCTTCGGGTCCCTTCTGGAAAGAGTATGCTAAAATCCAGTACAAAAGTTTATTTGTAAAAAGCTAAGAGAGATAAATTAATATCCTCTTTTAGTGGCTATTGTTTTAATGCATCATTTATCATATTCAAAGTAAGATCTATTCAAATGCACTAAATTCTGTACTAATATGAAGTTGGGTTTTTGTTCTAGTTACAGAACTATAAATAAGAATATAAAATGAGTTATCCACCAACTAACTTTTATATCTAGAATAAAAAAAGAAAGGAACCAAATTCAGTAGATCTTGCTACTCTAAACTGCTCTTTGAAAGATCAGTGGCTCATGGAGCACCCTTTCACAGAACTTCCTCTTTGACAATTCACAACACTTCACTAGGTAAGGAAGTCAAAGTAAATTAGCTTGTGCTGTCAAGTTTGAAACTCTCATATACTAGAAGACATATTAAGAGTATTTCAGTTATTTCCCCATTCAAACATGCAGAAGAATGTGTATTTTTCAAAATCTGTAGTAGAGCAATACTGACATACCTTATGTAGGGCAGACTAACCTTTTTTCCTTTGACTGTTACACTGAGCTTCATCTTCACTAACAATTTCTCCAAGACCATCTGGCTTTACTTCCAGGGTTTCTTTGATTTCATTGCTAGCTCTCTTCTCATGTTTCTCTTCCTTTTCTTTTCTATTTGGTGGCTTTTTATTCTGATTTACTTTGCACTGCAAAAGAATTGCTAAATATTTTTCATGATTTTATGGATGTTGATAGAAAAGCTACACCTAAAAACAATGTTTCCTTACTGATTAACTTAAGATTTGTTGTTCTTGAATTCTGAGCCATGACGAGCTCTCAAACTAATGTTGCATAAAATTTTTACAGAGAGTTAAACTCTCACTTTTAAAGTGTTCTGAAGTTACAAACAGTTCTGCCTGGTTATAAAAATAACCTTTAGAATGCAAACTGTTGCAATAATTAACTGTACTGACCATGTAACACTGCAAAATGTACAATTCTATTTTAGCAGAAAACAAGAGAAACTTTATTTTGTTTATTGCAATGTAAGAAAATGTTACTTATCAATAACCAGTGTTCAAACTGATTGTCTTTATAGAGCCTTACTTACAGGGTGCTCATATGCTTAAGCACTGAATGGGATTACCCGAGAAAGTATAATCACTGGAGTTTTAATTATGTTATCCAGTCAAGCACTACATTTTTGTAGTTATAAAGAACCACAGGCCCCAACTATGTCAATTCCATCCCACATGATCAGAAAACAAAATACAGATCAGAAGTGTGTGAAAGTGTCTGTCTATAAAATTTAAAAATTCAGATTGGGAAATTTACCAGCAACTGCTCGGCTTTGAGCACTGCCTGTACCCTATTAAGTACAAACTGGGAACCTGCACAGTTCAACTGTCAAAGCAAGCAAGACTGAAGAATTCTCTTGAATTGCCCATCATTCCCACCTGCAAAATAAAGCCTTGAAAATATCCAATCAGAAAAAATTCTCATTTGGTCATGGAAACAGCTTTGGATCCACTGAAGTATGTGCTTTAGGTACTGCAACTGTATAACAGTTCGAAAAAAAAGTCAATCCTTCAGATTGAGTGAAGAAAGAATTTATCTGAATTTGTTGATAAACCCTGATAAATTTAGACTTGTATACAGTTGTTTGTCTTATTCATAAAGGAACCAAGAGCTATTTTAGTACACTATGCAAACTAGTCTTCTAGTTCAGGATCTTAGGAAAGACGGGGATGTAGGCAGATTTATTCAGGAAGAAGCCACCAATTCATCAATCTGTAATATACTTACTCTGATAGAGTACTTAAAAAAATTATTCTGGCCGATATAACAGCCCCTAATACTTCAAAAATTGCCACTACAACCAGAAACCTGGTAAAGATCCTTAATGCTGTAGGGCACGTGAAAAAACTTTACTGATTTAAGTGTTTTCAGAAGCCCAGAAGAAGGGACACAGATATAGTACTGCTTTAGACTAAGAGCTCTAAATCAATCATATGCATTTAAAAAGGGATTATTAAATAATGTAATATGATTCTCAGCCTATATCTATCCAATTTTGTAGATGCAAACTAAACAATTTGCCTCTTTTCCTGGAATCAGGATGACAGAACTCCTGTCAAATGCTGCTGAGGAACTTCTTATATTCAGTGCAGGAGGAAGATTATTTCACACCTCTATCACAAGAGACGCCTCTGGAGAGATAAAAGGAAAAAGTAGAACTGACCAGATTCAACAATTTATCTCTGGGAATAGAAAATTTCCAGTTATTAAAAGATTGTTCCACACTTGGATGGTCTGAATTTCACATCTGACTTAAAAGAAACTTAGATGAGCCACTTTTCTGATCCTCTTACCAATGGCTTATGTGTCTATTTTTGGCTGCTACAAAAGATACTCTGCCAAAGGGAATACTGCTGCAAAGTAGACAGTTGCAAATTTATCAGGTGCTGCTGGGGCTGTATAACTGTGGGCTACTAACTTGGTAACAAGTATGCCTTCTGACACAGTTAAATCCATCATCTTGACCTCTGTATCAAAGAGGATAGAAAGCCATCTTCAACAAATTAATGAGTGTCTTGGTGTTGGATGGGTATATAAAATACTTAAAAAAAAAAATCAAGCTAAAGAGCTGGTACAATCTACTCACCTTGTACGTAGATATAATAGACTGAAAGGTAATATATACCTTTTAAAGATGTTTCTGTTTCTCTGATGGGTATTACTAAATGGATTTACTGTTCAAGTTTTCAAGGTGCCACTTACAGTTTTGAATGCTAGAAAAAAAAGTTTTAAAAAATGAACAAGGAGATGGCAAAGAATGAGCCAGGAAGTAAGTTCTGTGGCAAATTCCACAGGCAACTTGCACAATAACATAGAAGTCCTGCTTATAAGCTTCTTCTATCTTGAACTGGATCTGCGAGAACTTAAAGTATTGGTAATTTTTTCATACTCCACTTCTTATTCCATAACACCAAGTTCATTGATTTCTTTTATCTAGGAAATGGTTCTTCAGTGGGTTTTATTGTATACTTGCATAAGTTTTGATGTACAAGTTATCAATGTAATCACCGCTGCCAACACACTTGGTTTAATTTGGGCAAAAAGAAATGACCCTAGAAGATGAAAGCTGCATGTGAAACAGGAAACTCATGTTCCCTGTACACTTTAAGAACCATTACTAGACAGATGGAGAAGGTCTGTGCAAGGCTCCAAAAAGAAGGCACTAATGATGATAATGATAAGAGATAAAGCCATTTCAGCGGGAATGTCACTTGAAAACCCACCCAAAAAACAATCGAAGAACATAATGGGAATAAGGTAACTATAAGAATGGGACCAAAGACTGAAATATCACTTGATGGACCACAAAACAGACAAGAAGCATATCTAAGGCCAACAAATTATTACTATATTTAACAATGTAGCCTGGAGATGGGGATAAAGCACTCAGACAGCCACAATGAAAGACACAGTATAAGGTCTAATAAAATCTTAAAACAGCATAATGAAATAAAAATTAACAAGGACGCAGTACTCTCTCCTGAAGCAGTTAGTGGAACTTAGATGAAGTCAGGTCCATTAGCTTCTTACATAACCTTGCACCAAGTATTTAGGAGCCCCAAAGATTTCAGCATTTTACAGGATTGCTGTTCTGTATCTGTACATCCCAAAAGGAAAGCTCTTCTGACAAACACTGAACAAGGAAACAAAGTTTACAATTATGAGATACATTCAGCACACTTCCATATATGCATATGGAGACACCCAATATCATCACAACTGGCTTTAATTCTGCTCCTGTGAAATGGTATGTAACACTTAAATCACATGAAGTTTTACTCCAAGCTCACGTACTCATACATGAAAATCCTTTGCAATTTTTTCTGCTGAAATCCTGAAATACCTACCCCAATTCTCCAGACAGCATGTTGAAATAGAGAAGTTCATGACATGTTTAAAAAAAATAGTAATTTACAAACTACGTACAAACATAAAGAACAGCATAGTTTACTTACTTCATTGTTTGCTATTTCACTTGGTGTTGGCCAATTGGTGATATCACCGAAGTCACTAGTCTGCAAAGTTACAAGATACATTTCAGAATGCATCAATGCAGAATAGTGCATGTGCAAGTGTTAGAGAAACAAACTATGTTACTAGTTTTTTTTTTTTTAAATGTGAGAATTTTAACATAAACCAGACATGGCAGCACTTTAGTCAACAAGAACCTGGTCAGTTATTCACAGTAGATAGTTCCAATGCAAAGCCTTATCCAACACTAAATAAGCCGTAAAGTAAAATTATGTTTTAAAAAGGAACCTACACAACAGGCTACTTCTCCAGCTTGCAGTTAGGAAAACCATCAGCAGAACCTCTTAACGCTTAAACACTGCCAGCAAGCTGCTCCCTGAAAGTCTTTTCACAGCACTGATAAAGTAAGCTGTTCCTTCTGAAATTATATACATCAACAACTCTGCCCTGCCTTCTGCCTGACTTCAGACTAACACAGCTAACTACCTCTCTTTGCATGTCCTGTAGCTTACTGTAAATGTGACAAGTATATATCATTTGTATAGATATACAAGTCTTTCAAAAAGGGAACCAGCTAGTGTGTTAAATGTTTAAAAGACAAAAGAAAAATATTTTTCCCTCTTTAAATCTCTCCTGCATGTAAGACAAAAGTCATAAGAAAAATTAACACACACTTTTTAAAATCTCACATTCCCAATAAAAGAATGTGAAGCAAAATCAGTACTGAATATAGTCTACTTCAAAAATTCTCTCTCTTAAAACTTAGGTGATTTGTCACTAGAACCAACCTGTTTAAGGACACCATTCTCAGATACAACCAATACTTTAAACTGTTTATAGTCTCTTTTAATAAAAACAATCCTGAGATTCATATGTAAAGCTATTTCTCTAGAAATTACAAACCTTGCTGGGTTTCCTCGGCTTGGGTCGTCCTGCTTTTATAACTTTAGCAAAATTCTGCAGTTCTAGAGAGAAGAGAGAAATATTTTCAGAGAAGAAACTAGATTTAGGTTGTAATTTAATATTGAGACAAAACAAACAAAAGCTATCCTTAAGACAATGCTGAGATTTTTTCCTGCGATCCCAATCCAGCCAAATGTGTAAACAATTCCACTGAAGTCAGTATTTTTTCCACACATGGGATTATTTAATCTGCTTAAATTTAAGATACTATATATATCCAATGCTAGATATGTACCACTTTAAACTGCTTTTTAGTCTATAAATTTGAGGGATTTAAACACTAAATTCTGTAAACTGTTATAAAACTTGTATCTTGTAGAGTAAAAGTTATTGACTGAATCATAAAATGCTGATAAGACACAGGGCAACAAAACATTCACCCCCTTATCAGAAGCTATATATCTGAGAATAGGATTTATCCCTGATAGGTACAATTACATAAGTGTATCAGCTCATGAAATATGATAGAAATGATTACATATCCATAAATCCATACTAATCTACTTTTATACCATAATAACTCTAATGCTCATTCTGTCAGCTGCAGACATGATAATACCCTTATACTGTTTTGTAGCTTGAACACTGCCTGCAACTGAATCATTATTAAAGAGGGGTTTTACATAGGAATGCCCATTTACATAGGAATGTCTATTTCAAAGATTTAAGAGTGCATAAAATATCTTGTGGAAATGATTTAACCATTTTGTTCACAACCAAACCACAAATCAGTAAAATGGGGCCAAATTAGAGGGCAGAGGAAAGGATCTATACAAAACCATTATTATGCTGAAACTGATAGACTATCCATGTACCTGAAACTCAGTTTAAGCAGCTTTCTGAATCAAGACATTTGGATTGAAGGGCCAAAAGCATAATCGAGTCTGACCTTCTGCATGAACATAAAATGCATCCAGTAATGCCTGCAGGGAACTATTTTTAAAAGTTTGGAAAAAAAAATCACTGGTAAAAAGTTGCATCCCAGTTTGAGTTTCTTTTTAAGTTTCAACTTTTGGCCTTCCAATCATGTTACACTTTTGTCTGCTAAGTTGAAAAGGCCTCTAATAGGGCCCTACCAAAATTGAGAAGGCAGACAGGCAATTTCACAGGCCAATAGCAATGCACAATGCCATTTTTGTGGTTTGTTGCAGTGAGTCCGCCCCACATGCTGCTGACTAGCCCAGGGGCCCCAGCAGCACCCCGTCCCTTGCCACTTATTGGCCAAGAAGACTGCCATTCATGCAGTTCTACCCCTTACTGCTGGTTGGCAGAGAGGAGTGGGGTTGCATGACAGGCAGCCCTCTTGACCAATCAGTGGCAGAGGGAGGAGAGGACAACCATTTTGGCTCCCTTCCTGTATGCTGGTGGCTATATGAACTGCTAACTTCTACTGGGGAGCCAGGATTTTATTTTCAGTAAGTTTCCACACCCCTCGCTCCCGGAGAATTCTGCCAAAAATCACAAGGAATGCCACTTTCCACGGGAACCACTTCCAATCGCGTTTTTTGCGAAAAATGTAAAATTGCAATTTGAGTAGGTCCCTACCAATAGTAGATGTATTTTGTCACGATAGGTACTTCTAGTCAATGTTCAAGTCATCTCTTAACTTTCTCTTTGGTGTCTTAATTTTCTTCTTCTAATGCATATTTACCAATCACAAATGCTTATTAACTCATTTCCTTTCTGCAAAAGTGGACTCACTGTTCCCATGGTGACCTCACTATATTGTAACAGAGCAATATCATCTCCATACTCTTATTTACTTTTCACACATCCAAAGATCTCATATTTTCTGAGGGTGGGAATAGACCTAACATTTGAATCACTTCAAAAGTCCTTGAAAGGGCAAGCCAGACAGATGGACACACTTTTTGAAGCACTCCAAAAATGAAAGTTTCCCCATTACATCTGCATGCTCTACAAAGCATAAAAGTAGGCCCCTGGGGCCTTCAGCATCTTAAAATGCTTTTCTTCTCCTTCCCCTGCCAACAGTGGGATTCCTGGTCTCCAGCACCCAAACCCTGCATACCTATCCATGTCTACTCTCCTGGCTCCAATAGGGGAGGGGGAAGGAGATTAGGCCTCTAGTCTCTCAGTTCCAGCAAGGAAGTGTTCCAGAGAACTGGAGGCAAAGTGGATAGGAAGCACACACTGACATGAGCTCAGCTCCCTCACAACCCTGGGTAACCCAGTATTAGTAAAATAGTCCCTAACAGAAATGAATAATGATCTCTTCTATTTGGATTGAGTGGTCTGTTTTGTTACGAGGCAAGATGCTCTTGACAGGGACAGGGCAGCTCCTCTCTGGAGACAGTATCAAGTTTATGTCTGTCAGGCATCACTCTAAAGAAGATTCTAACACCCGCCAGATGGTATCCTTAACTACTGGACAGGATTCAGAGAATGGAACTCCATTTCATACATTAAACTGGTAGGCAACTGACTGACTTAATGACTGGACTTCTGTAGTGAGTCTTCACTCCATGTTCTCTATCTGTTGAGCAGATGAGCTCTTTGCAAGCACCCACAGTGAAATCTGGCATATGGTTGCATGCACATGCATAGCACAGCATGTCCCAGACTTTTCAGAGGCCCTTACCCATGTGATGGGGAGTGCTCAAACCTGTTGCATAATACCTTTCCCTAGAATCTCTGGGGTAAGCCCCTGTTGTTTTGGGATCTACCCATGGTCAATGTTTCATGCCAGTATAACACTGACTTTTCTGACCCTGGAGCTTAGCAGAGTGAAGATCTGGATCTTTTCCTGGTCGATTTGTTTTGCATAGCAAGCTGTTATGAGAATTAAACCACTATCATCTATTTATATAGATAAGATTATATCTGATACTCTTGTCTCTTTAGGTATACTGCTGCAACAGCAAAGACCTTGATCAACACAGTTGGAATTGTAACAAGCTGAAAAGCAACACTTTCCACTGCCAGTATGACATTCTGAGTAGATACTAAATATTTTCCATGCAATGGAATTACACAGATGTGAAAGGAAGCAACTTATAGGTCAAGAGCTTCAAACCAGCCCGCACAATCCAAATAAAAGGTGTTGAGATGTCACACACCTAAAAGGGGCGTCTCAGTCTTTAGGACTGTGAAATACTGGAAGTGGAAATATTTTAGCATGAATTCTTGAGATCCTTCTTCAATTGCTCCTCCATTGACGGTTTTTTTGTGTGTACACATAGCAAAATAGGTTGCTAGTGTAGAAAAGCTAACAACTATCAAGAGGTGCTTTGAAACAGGCAATGAAGTTACAGGCAGAACATATAACATCTGCTCTCTAAACAATGCAACTTACTTAAAAATATAACTCTTGCTGTCCTATAAAGCTAATCTAGAGTATTTCCTTTTTTTAGTTAATAGGCATACATGTATGGAATACAGTCTGAAAAAAAAATTTAATATTTCTTATTGGGAAAGTATATATACAAACTGTAACTTCTATTTTACAGACAAGTTGCAAATCCCAAATTCACCTATTTTCCAAGGCAAAAAAACCCATGTAATCCAAAAGTTCTCTGAAAGCACTGACCTGAGGCAGAGGAACTACAAATCAAATTGGAAGGATCAACAGTATCTACTTTTAAAGAAATCATTTTCTTACACATTTTTGTAACTTAAATGTTTGATGTTAAAAAAGTTAAATTAGTATTCTAATGAAGTCTGAAAATACTGTGTATGATACTTAAATTATATCTGATATGATAGCATGCCTTCTAAAAGTGTAGGATTACATAAAAAATTTTAAATCGGTTTTGGGTAATCTGCTTTCTCTGGCCACTCTCAAAATTTCTAAACTTAGAATTTTTGTTAAACAGTATATGAGTGCTCTTAACTGGTAAGAGCTCGTAAATTAAACTGTTACTCAAAGCCAATAGAAAATAAAGATCCAAATACAAAAGTTAAGTAACAGTTAGTCCAGTGATTCTCAACCTTTTTAAATTCTACATACCCCTTGACAAAGCTAGCATTTTCCACGGGGTGCCTCGAGTCTTAGTCAAAAACCAAGTAAAAACTACAGAAAAATAATAGAACGATTCTCCTGTTACAAAGCCACATCACAATAGGTCAGAATATTTTTAACAGTATGGATTCCTCTTTGAAATCTCAGAGTTTACCTTTTGAATCATGTTTGTAAACCTTAACTTTACATGGCATTCTTACAAGGATCTCAAGAAACCCCAGGGTGTTGCAGCCACCGTGGCTGAGAATCACTGAGTTACGCTTTTAGACAAGACTGAAAACTCAAAGCCTAAGTTAAAAATGGTTAAAAAAAGAAGTTCTAGTTAATTCATCTAGTTTTCAGACAGTAGGAATGCAAGTTTCCATAGTCACAGTTTTCAATACTGCTATAGATACGAGTTCCCCTAGTGTTGGAAAGAAGTTTGTTCAATATACAGCATTGTACAAAATAATACACCGATGATTATCCCAGGTCTTTCAGGTTATCCTTTGCCTCAGCAAAAGATTAACAAACAGAATCTACACTTTTTCCAACCGTTCACCTTCTAGGTGATTTAAACCTTCCATACAAGCAAAACACTTGGAAGGTTTAAATATAGTTTAAACCTGAAGCAGCCAGACATGCAAACCTGTTAAACCAGTTTAAAGCCACCTGGAACAGTTCAAAAGCATTTCAGCTGGTTCACTGTGAACTGAGTTGGCATTAGGTGTGGGCATCAAGCATGCCGCGACAAATCTGGTCAGTCCAGGCATCCCACACTTAAAACCTATATGGCTCTCCAACCCTATCTTCCCCTCACTACTGCACCTGGATACTCTGGCATGCAACCAAACTTCATTGCCCCACTTTTTTGCATGTTGCTAGCACTTTTTAAATGAGTTCACTTGTCCACTTGTTCAATGAAACCTATCATTCTAAGAGCCAGCTGGGCCTTGCTCCCTACTTAACTGCATCCTCTCATTCATCTCCTCCCCAGCCCTCCATCTCAGCCCCTGGGAACTCAAAGGCAAAGGCCGAAACACT